AAATAGGAAATGAGAACAAAGTTTACAAACTAAAAAAGGCTTTTTATGGGCTAAAACAAGCCCCTCGAGCTTGGTATAGTTGCATTGAGTCTTATTTCATAAAAGCTGGTTTTACAAAATGCCCTTATGAGCATTCATTATTTGTTAAATCAGAAGAAAAAGGAAAATTGCTTATAACATGCTTGTATGTTGATGATCTTATATTTATAGGAAATTGCGTTGCCATGTTTGATGAATTCAATAAGTCTATGATGAATGAATTTGAAATGACTAATCTTGGCATGATGCACTACTTTCTTGGTATATATAGAAATAGTGCAATCAGAAAATGGAAATTTTCTTTCTCAAAAGAAATATATGGGAGAAATTCTAAAAAGATTTCATATGCATGATTGTAATTCTGTAAACACTCCAATTGAGTGTAGTTTTAAGTTATACAAAGATAATGAAGGAAAAAAATAGTACACTTTACAAATAGATTATGGACAGCTTAATGTATCTAATTGGAACTAGACTAGATATAATGTATTTTATAAGTTTGATTAGCAGGTACATGGAGAATCCTACAAAAATGCATTTAGTTGTTGCTAAAGAATCCTTTGTTACTTGCAAGGAACAAGAGAGTTTGGACTATTTTACAAGAAAGGTGAAAAGTCCAATCTATTGAGGTTCATTGATAGTGATCATGTAGGAGATCAAGATGATAGAAAGAGCACTTCGGGGGGTGTTTTCATGCTTGGCACAGGAAATGTCTCTTGTCTCTAAAAGAACAACCTATTGTTACTTTATCAAGTACAAAAGCAGAATTTGTTGCAGCAACTGCTTGTGCTTGTCAAGACATATGGCTAAGGAGAATCCTTGAAAAGTTGAAATTCCAACAACATGGGGCTACTAAGATATTTTGTGACAATAATTCAGCAATCAAACTTACAAAGAATTCAATACTATATGGAAGAAGCAGACACATTGATGCCAAGATTTTATTTCCTAAGAGATCTGAGCAACGATGGAGCCATTAAATTGATTTATTGTCGGAGTGAAGATCAAGTTGTTGATATTTTCACCAAGGCACTCAAGAGAGAGTCATTCATGAAGCACAAAAGGTTTCTTAGGGTCTGCATGCTAAATTCAGTGAAGCCTTTAAAATGAATGTTAGCAAACATCAGTTTAAGGGAGGGTCTATTGATATTTTACGTTTTGTAACTTTGTTTTATTGGTTAATAAGTGTATTGCTTTACTGCAATGACAAGTATAACTTGAGTTATTTTTCTTTATGATGAATTTAATATGATTATGTAATTGTTACCTTTAAAAGGGTTCTTACTATTCTGAATAAAAGAACCACCTTTTCATATCTTCTTTTCTTAATTTTTATCAGAACAGCAAAGTATGAAAGTTTGGTTTGGCAACGATAACCTAGCCCTAGTGAGGAGTTACTGAAAGAGTTTTATGAATGAGTATCCGACGTGGTTTTTGAGTTTGGTTTTGATGAGTCCCTTGGCAAAGAAGAATGTAAGGTGTTAAGTCAAAAGAAGATTTTGGATCCTTCCAGCTTTAAGATTTTTAATGTTAACAAACAAAACGTTTTTTATAAGAGAAAATATCTTCAAATTTAGACTTCTTCATAAATATTTTGGAAAATGCTTATCAAATAAAGTGTAAGACACATATTGTAACACCCTAATTTTTATATTACTTATGTGCATAATTTTTTTTTTTTGTAAATTACTATATACTTTATTGTAATAAATATTATATAAGTTTACTATGTGTGAAATTTAAGTAGTTTTATCCAACAAAATTTCTGAAATTTAGTAACGTGCATTTTATTAACAAATTTGACTGTTTTCTAGACAAAGTTGTGAAGATGTTGTAAAATGTGAGAAATTAGATTTATGAGAATTTGAGCAATTTGTAACTTAAATGATAGTTTATGAGATTAGATTAAGAAAAAATATTGTAGTTAGGAGAGAAAAACTCAAAATTAGAATTTATAGAAATTTTTTAAGGATTTAACTTAAAAAATTTATTCTTTTAAAATATTAAGTTAGAAAATTATAGAAAAATGTTCCATATGACATATAAGATTTTTTTTTATTTTACTATATTTAGGATAATTAATAAAATTTTGGCTAAAAACCTAATTTGTTCTCTTATAATAATTGTTTATTTTAATTTAGTCTCACTTTTATTTTTTGTCTTAATTTGGTCCCTAATAAATTAAATTGTTACAATGTCGGACTTCTGTCCAAATTATTTAGACGGAGTTAACTATTGGCCACATGGAAGCTACGTAGATGCCACGTGGAAGCTACGTAGATGTCACGTGGATGTCAAACTTTGTCATGCATTTGGAACCAGAATGACCCGTTCTGAAACTGGAACGGCCCGTTCCAGTTGCACTCATGATGTGTAAATTTTGCATCTAGAACGGCCCGTTCCAGATGCATTATTTAACACCAACGCGTGCAGCAGAACGAGCCGTTCTAAAACCAGAACGGGCCGTTCTGGCTTCCAAAACGGGCCATTCTAGATTCAGAACGCGTCGTTCCAGAACGCCAACCAACATAGTGCACCAGTGTGGTTCAAAAATCGAAAACAAACCATTTACACATACACAATTTTTTTTATCTAAAAAATAATATATTTTAAAAAATAAAAATTATATTCTAAACCCTAATATATATATTTAAATTATCGTATGTATAAAATATAAATTTCGAGGAGTTATTCATTTATCTGATATATGTCAAAATTTTGTACTTTCTATTTGTTGTTTATGTTGATAAAAAAAATTAAAATTGTAAAAATTTATATCACATATTAAAAACATCTTTATATGATAAATAAATTAAATTTAATTTTTATAAGATTTAACATATTTATTTATATGTTTTTATTAGTGTTAAATTATTATTAAGTAGGTTTTTAAGATTGTTATGTAACCAAATATTTTAAAAAATGTCTATGATAGATAAATATATAATATTTATAATATGTATTTTTAATAAAAAAATTAGGTTTAAATCTGTTAAATTATAATATAACATAATCTGACCTAATTTATTTTCATCCTTAATCATAATTGTAGATATAAAAACTTGTAAAAAATAACTATAATATATATTTATACTTTTAAAAATTATATGTAAAATTTTTAATATTACAAATATATGAATAAGTATTTTCCTCACGATTTAAAATTTATGGATATAATCATCAACTGCATGTGTGGCATTCTGGAACCAGAATGGTCCGTTCTGAAACCAGAACGGTCCGTTCTGGTTTCACTCTTGGTGTGTTAATTTTGCATTCGGAACGGCCCGTTCCAGATGCAAAATTAACACACCAAGAGTGAAACCAGAACGGACCGTTCTGGTTTCAGAACTGGTCGTTCTGGTTCCAGATGCATGACAAAAATTTGACATCCACTTGGCATCTACGTAACTTCCACGTAGCATCCACGTTACCAACAGTTAACTCCGTCTAAATAATATGGACGGAAGTCCAACATTGCAACAATTTAATTTATTACGGACCAAATTGAGACCAAAAATAAAAGTGGGAGTAAATTGAAACAAACAATTATTATAAGGGGACCAAATTAGGTTTTTAGCCTAAAATTTTCTAACTTACAAAAATTAAAGTATAAGTTTCAACCAATCAAATTGTGACAAGCAAACAATTTCTAAATAATTAGGAGATGAATAAGGGGCTTAATTATATGTTTTTAAGGGTGAGAAATTTAATGGTGAATTTATTTTTGTCCTAATTCTAATTAGATTGTGAGATGATTTAAATATTTCTAGAATTTTCCAGAAAATACTACAAAATCCTACACAAATGGCCTAATAAGAAAAAAAAAATCAAAGGGTGACTTATTTTGGGAAGTCAAATGACCAAGAGTCTCACCACAAAATGGGTCAAAAATTTTTATCAAGACATGGCAATTAAACCAAGTCGGTGGAGAAAAATAAATGACTTAAAATTTACACAAAATCCAAACAACACCAAAACAAAAACCCATCTCAATCAAGGAGACTCGACATAGATTTCAAATTTTACGTCAGACCTCGTGGTATCTGACGTAAAATCCTTGTGATATCCCCTTTTCCTGATTCATTTTTTCGCGTGCACGAGGGTTTTCTATGTGCAGAAAGTTCAGGCGACTATTCCGAAAAAGAATTTGTACGCAACCTAGGTGTTTCCGGTCACGGTGAACGATGACGAGGTGGTAGTGACATCCATTCGTCATTACAAATCGTTTTATTTGATTGGATTGAAGCTTTTGGTGTGCGTTTTGCTTAGGTTAAAACTTAAGGCTACTAGAAGCTTTTGGGATTTAAGGTTAGTGTAAATACATTATTTTACATTGTTTTGGTTGCGGCGATTGGATTGGATTGGAGGATACATTGTTAGGGTTTTCCTCTAGCAATTTTTGGCAACGGTGGTATACGACCTTTGGGTGTTTTTGGTCATGGTGAGCGGCGATGACAACAGTGGCAAAACTCATTTTTGATTCTGAACCTATCTCTCCGATTGAATTGAAGTATTTAGGTATTTTTTGGATGTGTTCACAGATTGAGATTATTTTTTTGTTTGTCTGTCAACCATTTTACGTCGGATGTTAAGGATGTTCGATGTAATTTTACGTCGGCTAAAACACCCGACGTAAATTTACATCTCCCGCATTAACGTCAGACTTTTTTTCGTCATAAAAAAATATAAAATAATAGACGTAAAATATCTTTTTTGTACTAGTGACTTTAAGATAAATAAGAGCTGTAATATATTAGTCATGGATTTCAAAACCCTTCATGCAACTCATTATATATTGAATATTATTAGAATAATCGTCTAGAGTTTTCAATAATTATATTTTAATGTTTTAGGTTTAAACCACATGATGACTTTATTAAGATGGAACAAACAACAATAATAAAAGAATGATGGAAGAACAAAACCTAATAATCAAGATAAATGTAAATCGCAATCATGCACAAGATTATCAAATTTCAAAGTTAACATGTATAAAAATTATATATCGAGGAGTCACTCAAGTTTTATTGTTCTACGAAAAGAAGAAAAAAAATTGATCATGAAATAACCTATAGGCATAACGCTCTCCTCAATAATTCCCATTTCTATAGCCGCATAGATCATCATGAATTTACTTTGCTGACCCATTGGGCAATGCTTCAAATTTTGTCCCAAATGATGGGTTCAGGTCCTCCCAAGCTTCAATCCATGTGACCATGGCATCTGCAAGCTTGTTGAAATACTCATCAACCTTGCCAAGCTTTGCCTTGACTTGCTTGGAGAGTTCAATGTAGCATTTTTGAACGGTTGTGCATTCCTTTGGAAGAGAAACAGATTGGAAAAATGGGATCAACTCTTCTTGCCAGTAAATTCCTTTGTACTCCTTCTTAAGGTTCACAAATGGGTTGCTAGCTTTACTGTGCCAGATGTAAGGCAAACCTGTCTTCACCCCTAATCCCAAATGATCACTTATCACCTACATCACCAATAAAAGAGTTAATTAAGCTTACATGAGTTACAAGTGTTGATTTTTCCACATTAATGAGAAATTATTAGATAGTTTAAAACAAGTGTTCATGATCCTCTCTAATCATTACATAACATATATTTAACTTTATAACTTACCAAAAAAAATATAATTACATTTCATGTAGATACTAGTTAGAGATTTTTGTGGTATAAGATTACTTATTCATTTCCTTCTCTACACCCATTAGAGGATATAAAAAAAAGTTAAATTATTTCTCTCTCTTGCATAATGATTTGAGATTTCCTAAGATAAAAACAATTCAACCATGTATCATTATTAAGTACACAAGTTTGGAATACAATACCTTCATGCACCAACCAGCCCACATATTATCATAGCGTCCAACAGGTTGGCCATCACCCATGAGTCCAAAGTACATTGCTGGACCAATTAATTCACGGTTGAATGCCAAATTCATACCACACATGGGAAAGAGGGTTCCCTTTGGTATAGTCATAACTGCATCTACATACCTGAGGAAACAAGATATAACCTCAAAAATACACAAATCTTGTTATAAACTAGAATGCTACAAATGCAAAGGATGTTGATACTACCTAGTGTTTCTCTCTAGGGGCTTGACAAGCTGAGTAGGGGCATCATAATCAGGAACATTGAGCCAAAGGCCATGAGAAACAGCTGTAGGGACACCTTCACGAAGACTAAATGGGTACCCACGCACAAAATCTGTACCTTCTCTATATGGATCATATAGGGTGTTGAAAAAAAATGGGGTTGATGGAGTCACAAGATTCTTAAGGTGTTGCTCCAAGGCATCAATGTCTTTGCCAGATGGATCTTTCGCAACCTGAATAATGAAAAAACAAAAGACAAAATCCAAAAACATCTCATCTTACATGTGGGATCTAACCCCTGCTTTATGAGCAAGATGCTCCTTTTTTTTTTTCCCACATCGTGTAGGTGTATGATCATAGAGCAAGTTGTTTAAATATAAACTTAATTTTCTTATTAAGTTTTTTTATTAAAAATAAAAAACTTTTTTAGATGAAAAAACTTTTGAAAACTTTTATGAGTTTGTTTTCGAAATATCAGTATATGAAAATTAAGAACGGTGAATTATGTGACATCATAAAAAAATTATCTTGTAAGGATACAATATTTATTATTAAAAATTATTATTACTTATAATTATATTCTGATAATCCTTAAAAAGTATATGTATAAACTATAATAACATACAATATATATTGTTGAATCTCATTCAAAAATCAATACTAAAATTGTGTGTGATTATATGTCAAATAAATTTATAATTACATATATTGTAACTTTTATTAACTATTACATCGTTCAATAACTTTATATTAAATGTGAATTTTGTTGATCCATCCGTTAAATTATAACTTTATATTAAATGTGAATTTTGTCGATCTATCCGTTGAATTATAACTTTATATCACCCTACATGTCTATGTTAAAATTTGTTAAAATTGAACAACAATTTGAAGATAATCAAATTATTTATATTGTTTACATTTTAAAACGAATATATAACATTAATTTTAATCTATAAAAATGAGGTATCAAATCATCTTGAATTAATATAAAATTTTGTATATTTGATCTTAGAATAAGAAACTTGCAATCTAGCCATAAATTTTAAAAATTTCACATTTAATATAAAGTTTTTAAGTGAAATAATAGTTTGTAAAAGTTACATTTCAATCGTTTGAACCCTCTTTTTTTTTTTTTTTTCTCTATATATATACACGTAACATTTCTTATAGTGTGAGAAAAGATACTTACAAAGCAGTCGTCATCAATGGTGAAGATGTACTTCTTCTTGGAGATCATGAAGCCGAAGCAGCGGGAAGCAGAGTCCTTGAAGGAAATGCAATGAACTTTAGGACCCAAAATTCGATTCATGTCTTCGCGGTTGTAAAGAGTGTAGTCGAAGCCTTGTGGGACCTTGATGACTTTGGAAGGGTCACCGTCCTGCACAATTATGAGATGATACCCTTCAAAGAAGGTCCTCCACTTCTCCAAGAAGTCCAAGTTTCTTATGGTTGGGATCACTATGTCCACCTCATCCTTCAGAATTGGACTTAATTCTGATCCTGACATCGTATCGTTCCTTCCTTCTCTTCCTTGGATCGCAGGTTTCGCTGATATATATATATATATATAATTATAGGACAACGTTGTTGTTATTTACGTTGCTTTGGAGGTTCGGGGAGCACGAGGATGGGGCTGTCTTTGTTTGCATTGGAGTGAGGGGAGTTTTGTAGTACTTGAAACTCTCCGGACTTGGCACGTGAAAAAAGGGCTTTTGAATTTTTTTTTATACTTTTAAGAAATTTATTGTATTTTTTTTTATATAAAATGGTGAAATAGTAACTGAGAAGTTGTTATAGAAATTGTTTAACTTTATTGGTGGCTTAAAATAGAAAATTTTCCATCTCTATTTTTCTTTTAGTAAAATTTAGATTCCAAATAATACATGGATAATTTTGCTATGTCTCCTGAGTTTTCATCTTTCATACATCTGTCCTAAGAAAGAAAAAGATACTTGTAAAAGATATTCTAACGTTCAAATCAATCTTTGAAATTATAGAGATTAATTAATCAATCTTAATAATTATGAAAATGTATCTTTTTCGTTACTAATCACACTTATTTATACTAATATTAATGGATTTAGACCCATGACGAGATCTATTAGCGTTAATATGTTAGCTTGTGTAAGTCATTATAAAGAGTCGTAGACTCCTTGCCTTGTTTTATGTTTGTACAATTATATCAAAAAGTCTTCGACCTTCTTCTAATACTTATCTGGTATAAGTAATAATTTTTTTTTTAAGAAAATTAATAAAATTATAGATTGTGTATCTCATTTGAATACAAGTCCATGTAGAAGGATATACTTTCACCAAATTCTAATTTGGCGATCTTTATTTTAATTTTAATTTATTTTTAGTACATTTGTGAATTTGAATTTACTTTCAGCTTTGAGTCCATCGCCAAACTCTGTTATATTCAGTCCCCGCCCATCACGCGCAAACTCCAGTCACCGCCAGCCAAGTGACAACTGAAACATTTCTCAATATTGTCATTTTCCATTTTCCATTATATTTTTTAATTTCCACTTGCTCAAGAAATTGTGTACATTTCCAAACAGATAGTTATTTCTTATAATAATTTAAAAGGCTTTAAAATAAATAATTAGCTTTCTCAGTGTTTATTTCCAGACACACCAAGTACAAAGGCAAGCAGAATGGACATACGAGATTTTTCTTTCTTTTTGGTGAATATAAACATATGAGAGTTAACATTGTCGTGGTTTTAATTGTCTGAACCACACCAATGATCGACATAAAGTAAAATAAGATACATAATTGAGCAATTTGTGTTACTACCACAAGTTTTACGTAGTCTTTTAACCGTTTGGAAGGAATATTCACACAATCACACCCCTTGTGTTTTCAGTAATCAGTACAACGTAGAAACGGACATTATAGAATCTTATTAGAGATAAGTTGCTAACAATACGCACAAAAAAATTATTATCATTTGCTGTTTCATAATAATAATACCATAGTAGCAGCATTTGGTTTCTCCTAAGCAATATTGACATTGTGAATGACGTATCACATTGGGTTGTTCTCATAATTATAATTTATTTAGTGCATTTATTTAATGATATTTTCTTCTTCTTCTTTTTACAACCTTAATGATATTTTCTTTAATAAAAGGGGAAATATACAATTCGTAAGTTTTTAAGTGAAAAATTGCATATTTGGATTTTTTTTTATGGACGTTGCTGTCATCTAAAACACCTTTACATGTATCTTATATGGAGAATATGTGTTGAAAAATTATTCTTATCATATAAATTTATTGAAGTATATATCTTTGAGCATTAAAATTGCTAAAGATAATTTGTTCCCTTCTCTAATGTTTCCCTTGTAACTTATTATATTTCTCTACTTATGATTGTGTACATGTGAGAGATCATGATCTTCTATGTTGCTAGAATCTGAGGTCTTAATAAAGATGGTTAATCAAATTTTAATCAACATGCAGCATGAATATACTTGACACCAATGACATTTGAAAACAAAAAAGTAATAAAATGTGATACAAATTTGTGGTATCACATTCCGGGGAGATATGATCATTTTCGGTATTACATTCACATACAAATTTGTTTTCTATTATATTATATCATTCATTTTGTTTCTAATATATACTCGAAAAGGGTCACTACACAATCCAACTTCTTTTTACCTTTACACTTGACATAATAATAATTTTCTCGTTTATTATTAAAATAAAAGTTTATGTAGTTGATGAAATTTTTGAAAATTTTTAATTAGGTCTCTAAATTAAAAAAAAAATTATAATTGGATTTTCTTTTTATAATTTTGTAATTTAGTCTCAAATGACCATTTACAATTTGTCAAAATTGACAAATACTTTTATATCCTCGTACTTCGACAATTATATTACATTATTATTCCATGTTATTATCTGTGTATTAAAATTTTAATCTATATCTTTTAAAAAAATTTACTATTCTATAATTCTTATAATTACAGAGATTATTAGAATTTTCACAAGTAAAAATTATGTCAAATTTGACTAATCATAAATACTCCTTTAATTTTGAGGACTAAATTACAGAAATTTTAAATAATAAAAAAAGTAAGGGATTTAATTCCAATATTTTTAAATTTATACTAGATTAACAATTCCTAAAAAATTCAGTAACTAATGGTATGTTAATCTTAAAATAAATTAAAGCCATGTCTGAATTGTGTCACTGGGTGATAGATAATCAGGCTTGAAGCCTAAGGCCCAATAACTTCAATTGAGACCCACGGGCTACATTGGGTTTGTTCAATGTATCAGTTGATTTTTTTTAATAGTGTTGCACCATTATTCTATTAGTTTTAGGATCTGGTTCGGTTGGGCAGCAATATATCTGTTTTCAATCAATCCCAAGATGGTAACTCTATACCATACTTCCTTAGGCATACCAAGGTTGATCGCCATATTTGATCGTGGTGATAACAGATGATTTAGCTATTTGTTCTGTAAACGTAAACAGTTATATTGATAGATGTGGATGTATAACCCCAGACACAAAATCTGTATACAGATTTATAACTATGTTAAGATGTAATTAATGATTAATCATCTAAGAGAATAAACTAAAAACATATCCCTAGCCATAAAGCATATCACATTTAAGCAAGTTGTTTCATGAATGAAAAGTAATTGAAAACTATGGTTGTTTAAACACGTAGATATCTGCAAGCATGCAACTGATAATAGACATGCAGACAGAACATTGATTCTGAAGATGATATCACAAGGACCTAACAACTACTAGGTGCTAACATATTCCTTAATCAGTTCAACACATGTAGTTATAAATGCACTAGTAGTACATTTGCAATCTACCAAGTTGTGTACCACACTAGAACTAGTTTTTCTGAGAACCTCATCTTCAGGAATGGAATTTGTTAGTGGTAAAGAGAAGCAAAAGGGTACATCTGGATACTTGAAATTGGTTGCCTTAATTGCTCTATGTCTCACTCTAATTTCTCCAGCTGGTAAATCCCTTGCCTATATGCAAATTACGAAACATTTGTTGTAAATATCATTTTGTTGCTCATGCATGGATTCATTCTAACTTGTTTATCTTGTGTTTGTAGAATCATTTGATCCATTGGATCCAACTGGGAACGTGACAATAAGATGGGATATCATGTCTTGGACATCAGATGGTTATTTGGTAACTTCTAAACTCTTATCATAATCTGCATATATGGATTCATTATTGTAACAATTTGAAATTATGAATATCAAAAGGTCTAAAAAATATTGAAATTGTTGGCCTTGAAAAAAATGCTGAAATTGATGAATATGTTAAATTTTGGTAGGCCACTGTGACATTATTTAACTTCCAACTATACCGAAATATTATGAATCCTGGGTGGACTTTGGGGTGGACATGGGCAAAGAAGGAAATAATATGGGCCATGATGGGAGCTCAAGCCACAGAACAAGGAAACTGTGCCAAGTTCAAGTTGAAGATTCCTCATAGCTGTAAGAGGAACCCTGAAGTGGTTGACTTGCTACCTGGAGCTCCTTTCAACATGCAGTTCAACAACTGCTGCAGGGGGGGTGTCCTTACTTCTTGGGGACAGAACCCTTCAGGGGCTGTCTCAGCATTTCAGATAGGTGTTGGACTCTCTGGCACCTCCAACAAGACAGTGAAATTGCCTAAGAACTTCAAGTTGCTGGGACCAGGACCAGGATACTCATGTGGCCCTGCCAAGATTGTTCCATCCACTGTCATCCTCACTGATGATCGCAGGCGAAAAATGCAGGCACTCAGTATGTGAATCCCATACTAATTCCCTCCCATTCATCATATATCTCTTTATACTTATGAATCGATTATTAAGGGTCAGTTTGGATAAATTTTACTAACACTTATAATAAAGGAAGAAAAATTAAGAAGAAAAAATTAAATAAGTTTGACCAAAAGCTAAAATTAGCTTATATATAAATTAATAGCAAGATTTTGGAAAATTAATATGCAAAAATTTCTACAAATTAATTTATACATAAATTAATTTTAACTTGCAGGATAGCTTATCTCATTTCTCTTCCTATTTTCTCCTCCCATAAGTGGTATTAGAGAAATTTATCCAAATGGATCCTAATGCATTTTAATGATGAAAGCAAAGATTTTTACACGATCAATCAATTAAAAATCACCTTAAATCTGCCTTTGAAAGTAATAATTACAAAAGTCAGTCATCTTACCATACACAACAATCTATGATTGGATGATAGAGTAAACGTTCTAATTAAGTTCTTTAATGATTCTATTTTATGGTTATCTATGCAGTGTCCTGGAATGTGACATGCACATATTCACAGTTTCTTGCCACCAAGAACCCTAGCTGTTGTGTTTCTCTGTCATCTTTCTACAGTGACAAGGTCACAGGTTGCCCAGCTTGTGCATGTGGATGTCAGAATAACGATACCTGTGTCACGTAAGCCACCCTTGTAGTTTTACCTTACTCTTCTCTCCTCCTAACTAGTTGAGTCATGCATAATGTTTTCTACATTAGGCAACAGTTATGACATGCAATTTTGGTATCTTATGTTGGACATGCAGGAGAGATTCAAAGATTCTGCACGAAAATGTGACCTCACCTCATCAAAAATCAGACATCACACCAAAACCATTGCTACAATGCACACACCACTTGTGTCATGTAAGGGTTCACTGGCATTTGAAAGACAACTATAAGGACTATTGGCGTGTGAAGATTGCCATCATCAACTTCAATTACCGGTTGAATTTCACCGATTGGTCTCTTGTAGTGCAGCATCCCAATCTCAATAATGTCACACAAGTCTATAGCTTTGAATATATGCCACTCCTTCCCTATGAATCCATAAGTGAGTTATTTGAAATGGACACAATATTGTTTCAATATTAGAACTTCTTATAAGTGGTTTTCCTTAATTAACCCTGTGATTCCGGACTTGTATATGCAGATGACACAGGCATGTTCTATGGTTTGAAATATTACAATGATCTGTTGATGGAAGCTGGGCCTAAAGGGAATGTGCAGTCTGAGGTACTCATGAAGAAGGACAAGAATACATTTACTCTCAAGCAGGGATGGGCATTTCCTAGGAGGGTCTACTTCAATGGTGATGAATGCATGTTGCCCCCTCCTGATTCATATCCTATGTTGCCAAATTCTGCCCATACACTACTATCAAAAAGAGATATGTTGATAGCAGCCTGTGTGATTTTTTCATTACTTTTTCATTTGGTTGTAACACTTTTTTGAGGCGTAAGAGCGGCTATTTAGTTTTAAAGCTTACAGCTTAGAGTGATGAGTTAGCTGGCAAATATGCAAAATTGAATTTCTTGTGAACAATTATACACATATATACGATATATATTCACTCAAAAGATAACATTTTCTGTGTTGTTAAATATTCTTTAATTACAAGAATATGGATGAGAACATACAAATGAGACAGGAGATTTGGGTCTTACACGTAAATATACCATTAGTCATTACTGTAGAATATATATGTTGTTGAGAATATGAATCAGCATCTATTATTTGAGTTTATTTTAGATTAATGGAGCATTATTAGAATTTCAACGGTTATGAATTTTAATTATAGGAATTATAGGTGCTGTTACACTTTTATTAGTATATATTTACATTTGTCGAAGACTAAACATTTCAATGTTAAGCTGTATTCTGTTAGAAATTTTTAGAAAAAAAGTAATGTTGAGTTAGTATATTGCAAGATAGAAGATCAATTGATAGGCATCTTCACAAAGGCACTTCCAAAAGAAAAGTTTGAGAACTTGAGAGGGAAACTTGGAGTCAATAGCTACTGATACAAGGAGGAGTGTTGAGAATATGAATCAGCATCTATTATTTGAGTTTATTTTAGATTAATGGAACATTATTAGAATTCCTACAGTTATGAATTTTAATTATAGGAATTATAGGTGTTGTTATACTTTTATTAGTATTTACATTTGTCATTTAGTTTTATGTTTATGAGCAGAATTTGTATCAGCTTTCAATTGTGTTTTGTGGATTTAAAGGTTGCAAGTATGAATAAAAATATATGAGTTTCAGCCTTCTAATTTTTCTGAATTCCAACATATGCAAACATATGTTCCTTTATATATTCAAACACTATTCTTTTATGCATAGAACTTCTTACATATATGTTGAGAATCTGAATCAGCATCTATTATTTGAGTTTATTTCAGATTAATGGAGCATTATTAGAATTTATACGGTTATGAATTTTAATTATAGGAATTATAGGTGTTGTTACACTTTTATGAGTATTTACATTTGTCATTTAGTTTTATGTTTATGAGCAGAATTTGTATCAGCTTTCAATTGTGTTTTGTGTATTTAAAAGGTTGCAAGTATGAATAAAAATATATGAGTTTTAGCCTTCTAATTTTTCTGAATTCTAACAAGTGGTATCAAGAGCTTGCTTCTTACGGGCTGTGAGGAAAAGTTTATTGAGTGCTAAACACATTGAGGTTGAGTGCAAACACTAAATTGAGTGATTTATTGTTTAAACAATTTTTGGTGCAAGGATGTCTACTTCCACCTATTCACCTGCAATTCCAATGTTTAATGGTGAAAATTATCATATTTGGGCCGTCAAGATGAAAATTTTTTTAAGATCTCAAGGCTTATGGAATGTTGTAATTTTGAAGCTGATCCACAACCATTGAGAGAAAATCCAACCATTGCACAAATCAAAGCTTATGAGGAGGAGAAGCTGAAGAAAGATAAAGTCATCACTTGTCTACATGCAAGACTTGCAGATCATATTTTTACTAAAATCATGGACTTGGAAACACCTAAACAGGTGTGGGACAAGATTCAAGATGAATTTGAAGGTAGTAGCAGAGTTAAATCTGTTAAACTTCTCACATGGAAAAGAGAATTTGAATTGATGAAGATGAAAGGTAATGAATCTGTCAAAGATTATTCTAGCAGATTAATGGATGTTGTGAACCAAATGCGACTTCTTGGTGAAACATCATTTACAGATCAAAAGGTTGTCGAAAAAATCATGGTTTCGGTGCCTGAAAGATTTGAAGCCAAGATTTCTACAATTGAAGAGTCTTGTGATTTGCAAACTCTCACAATTATTGAATTGACCAGCAAGCTTCACGCACAAGAGCAAAGAGTCTCCATTAGAAGTGATGAAGCTGTTGAAGGTGTCTTTCAACCAAAGCACAATGGAAGAAATTTTGGAAAGTCACAAACTTTCAATAAGAATAAAGGAAAAGATGAAGGTTCTTCAAGAAAAGGAAATTTTTTGCCTTGTTTTCATTGCTAAAGAACCAACCACTCTAAAAAAGATTGTTGGTTTAAAGATAAACCACTTTTTCACTGTAATTTTTGCAATAAAAATGGTCACAATGAAAAGATTAAAGAAGAATCGGCCTGAATAACAACTAGAAAAACAGGCAAATGTGATTGAAGAAAAAAAATGATGATGAAGATGAGTATTTATTTATGGCATCTCAAGGATTCACATGAATTGAATACTTGGCTCATTGACAGTAGTTGCACTAGTCACATGACTAAATATTTATCATTTTTTACCTCCATTGACAAATCAATTGAGTCAAAAGTCAAGATGGGAAATGGTGAAATTGTAAACGCAAATGAAAAAGGAACAATTTCTATTGCAACCAAGAAAGGTATGATAATTGTTAAAGATGTTCTCTACATTCCAAAATTAGATCAAAATATTCTTAGTGTTCCACAAATGCTTAGGAATGGTTATGGTCTCTTTTAAAGAGAATTATTGTTTTAGCATAGATGAACATGATTTAGAGATTGCAAAGATTGAGATAACCAAAAACGATTTTTATTTTAAATTTGATTTGATTGAAGATCATGATTTTATTGCTAAAACTGATGAGAGTAATGTTTGGCATGGAAGATTTGGTCACACTTTTATGCAAGATGTATTTGATATGATAAATTCCAACAAATGGTATTCAAAGACAAGAGGAGGAGTTAGATTGAATGACAGAAGATCAATTGGCAGACATCTTCACAAAGGCACTTCCAAAAGGAAAGTTTGAGAACTTGAGAGGGAAACTTGGAGTTAATAGCTATTGATACAAGGAGGAGTGTTGAGAATCTAAATTAGTATCTATTATTTGAGTTTATTTCAGATTAATGGAGCATTATTAGAATTTCTACGGTTATGAATTTTAATTATAGGAATTATAGGTGTTGTTACACTTTTATGAGTATTTACATTTGTCATTTAGTTTTATGTTTATGAGCAGAATTTGTATCAACTTTCAATTGTGTTTTGTGTATTTAAAAGGTTGCAAGTATGAATAAAAATATGAGTTTTAGTCTTCTAATTTTTCTGAATTCCAACAATATATGATAAATCCATCCGCTCGGGTTTTGGTATTGCCAACACAAGAAAATGAGTTTTGAGTATATATATGGTTAACAAATGACTAAAGAAGCGGCAGAAGTGCTACCTACTACCTAGAATTTCTTCTTGGATTCATGATCTCAACATTAAAAAATTATATTGGATATTCTATAATCTGAAAAAATAAATAATCATCCAAGCAAGTAACATAAAATAATTATACAATACAAGCTAGAAATATGTGTTACATAAATGGGGGCAAAATTCATCCCCAAAGTGAATAAAGGACAGAATTCTTGTGGCAAGCATGTATGCATCTGGGACACTTTTTATTGCTTCAGTAGCAGCTTCTATGCGTTCTTGACAATGGGCTTGACTTCATCTTTAACAAGATGGTGCAGAAGGGAGAAGTACAATGGTATCACTATGTTTTCTATGATTGATTCAATAAGATTAACAAAGAAGCTAAAGTGGCTATGACTGTACTTAGTAAAGAGAGAACTAGTTTAGAACTTGCATTTGGCAGCCAAGGGTAGGCGTCTGGAGGAGGCATAACACAATTATCTCCATTGAAATAAATCCTTCTTGGGAAGGCCCATCCTTTGTCAAATGTGAAGGTTGATTTGTCTTTCCTAAGTAATATTTCTGACTGAACATTACCGAAAGGTCCAGCTGAAGAAAGAAAATCATTGTAGAACTTGACTCCCCACAGCATACTTGTATCATCTGTAAAACCATATCCCAAAACAATAACATAAGAAAGGGTATTTTCTTCACAAGAACATCTAGGAATATGGCTATACGCCTGTTTAGATAAACATCTCCAAAAACACTTCAACGAAAAAATAGGAAGGAAAAATGAAATATGTTTGTACATAAGTTAAAATTAGCTTATGCATAAACTAGTCTGCAGAAACTCTCTTATATAGCTCTTCTCCAAAATATTATAAATAAGCTAGTTTTAGCTTATGAAGAAGCTTATTCATTTTTCCTTCATATTTTTTCCTCCAAAAAGTGCTTCCAAAAAAGTTTATCCAAATAAGTACTATGACAGATATAACTTACTCAAGCCCTCATAGGGTGTCAGTGACTTGTACTGAAAACTGAAGAGTTGGGTTATATTATCTAAATTGGGATGCTGCACAACAAGGTTCCATTGTGAGTAGTTCATTCTGTAATTGAAATTTGTGATTGTGATCTTGACCCTCCAGTACTCTTTGTAATTGAGCTTCACGTGCCAATGCACTCGAACAGGACACATATGGCTGGTACACTGGAGTAGAGGTGTATTTGTAGATTTTCCAGATGAAGATACAACTGTAGATAAATGTGGGGAATTTGGACTGCAAGATATTCAGAAAAATAAATCATAAGAAATGGCAAAATAAAGATATAAGTTACACTGGAACCTACTTTGAAGAACTATTAGACACAAAGAAAACAATTTCAAATATGTGTGAACAGATAAATTGGAGGCTTACTCTACACAGCTTTCAGGTTCTGTTTTATTTTGGCAGCCACAGGTACAGGTTGGGCAGTTTACTACCGTGTCATTGTAGAAGGATGAGAGAGAAACACAACAACTTGGTGTCTTTTGAGCCAGGAATTGAGAATAAGTGCAGGTAATATTCCAGGTCACTGCCACAAAATATGCAGGTTAAGTTGAAGAGAAGCTATAAGTTGGATTTCATATTTTAAACTCTTCTGAACAATGTACAAACCATAAATAATTATTCATAGTACATCACAATTTCACAGCCAATATTTTTCTAAGCTATTTCAATTTATATAACAAAGGCTAAGGGTTTGGTTGGATAAACTACTCCAAAAATACTTCTAGGAGGAAAAAATACAAACGAAAAATGAAATACGTTTCTCCATGAACTAAAATTAGATTACGGGTAAGTTAATTTATAAATGCGCTTTCATATAACTTCACCAAAAAAATTACAAATTAGCTTGTGTATAAACTAGTTTTAGCTAATGGAAAAGGTTGTTTCATTTTTCCTTCCTATTCTTTTCCTCT